TTAGTCAGTGATACAAGAGAATTTTATTTAATAATATTTTAATTTTAATAAATTAATTAAAATTTTAATACATTTTAATAATAAACTGTTATTTAGCTGGGATTTACATTTCAGCAAGAAATGTAAATACTTCACACTAATATTTGAATTGATGCTTTGGACATTGATACGCTTTATGTCTAAAACCAAGATTTGTCTGTCATATCTTGACCCTAACTTTTTTTCTCTTATGTTGATAAGCAGGAGTTGTACTCTGAAATACAGAAACAGTGATCCTGAGGAAATTTTCATTATAAACGTTTAGACACAAAGTTATCTAACAGTCTAAAAATGGGCAGAACGCAGTTTACAATGTGTCTTTCAAGTAATTTCAAGTAGTTGGAAGCCGTGCTCTCCGTTTAGCTAGAACTAGATTTTATGGAATATCTGTTTTTCAACAGAAAAAACCTAAAGCCACTTGGGATACTCAGTTTTTCCATCCACCATAGGGTTAGGTGAAACTGCGGTGCGGGGGGGGGGGGGGGGGCGGCAGGGGGAGGGGTCTCACTTTCCTACAGAAGGCATATTTGCCAGTTTTACATCTGCTGATGACTTAGAATATTGCCGCCCCGACCCCGCCCGACCCCCGTGTTTCTGCATTCCCGAGGACTTCTGGTTCAGATGGAAGCTCATTCCCTGAGCTTGGGCAGAGTGGCCCCGGTTTCTCCGTGACTTCTGCTGCAGCTGAGACAGAAGTACGTCTGGGAGGAGCCTGGAAGAGAGGCAGGAAGGAAAGGGATGGTCTTCCACTGAAGCTGCCAGCAGACCTGCCCTGAGGCTGTGCCTGGGGTTAAGAGAACTTTTGAAAAAGGAAGGTCGAAGATGGATAGCTCTGCTGGTCACCCCTACTTACTCAGAAGTGGAAGTTAGATCCATGGCTTTTAATAAACCTCCTAGTCATTGCCCCACCATTACACAAAACTCAGACATCACATTTAGATGTATAAGATTTTTGCCCATTGTTAGGGTATGCCAATCTGATGATTATCACTTCAAACCCTGCCTTGGCTCAAGAGGAAATAAAGTTGCTTTTAATTGCCTACTCACTCAGCCTGTCTGAAGCCAAGTCCTTCATACCCCTCCCTTTCTTCCCCTCCCTTGCTCACCTCCCCAGCTGGTCTTCCCTCTCCCTCCTCTTCTTCTGCCTCCCTTTTCTCTCCTTCATCCCCCCCTCCTCTTCAGCTCCCCTTCTTCCCCTTCCCCCTTTTCTTCTTTACCCCTCCCTCTCCCTTACCCCCTCTCTTGTTCTCCCTCCCCTTCTCTCATTTACCCCTTCCCTTTCTCCTTTACCCCTCCCATCCTCTTTCCTTTCCCTCCCTTCTCTTCCTCCCCCTTCTCTCCTGTACCCATCCCCTTCCCCTCCTCTTCCCTTATCCTTCCTCCCCTATTCTCTCCTTTACCCTCTCCTCCTTTTCTTCCCCACTTCTCTCCTTTACCCTCACCCTTCCTCACCTTTCTTCTCCCCTTTATTCCACCCCTCCCTTCCTTTTCCTCCCCTCTTCTCTCTTTTATCCTCACCCCTCCCCTCCTTGCTCTCCCTCTTTTCCCCCTCCTTAGCACCCTCCCAATGTCCCCATCCTGGCAATGCTTACTATCTTCAAGTCCTCCTTGGATCCCTGGAGTTCTCTTGGGCCCCTCCCTCTTTCTCCACTCCACCCGTTAATTTCCCTGGACATCCCTTCTCAGAACTGCTAACCAGCCTCAAAAAGAAACCAAAACCCTGAATAAACCCAAGCAAGATAAACAGCAGCAGCACCAACTTATGTGAAGAGCAGGTGGCCAGGAAGAGAGTGAAGCCCGCAGAACAGAAAGGAGAAGAGTAAGGATGTTGGCAGCCAATGTCCCCTCTGGAACTGGAGCAGAGTTTAGCAGCATCCGTCAGATCAAACCCTGAGTGCGCCTGCCTGGTGAGCTCAGCAGGGTTCCTTACATGTTTGTGAGCCTGGGCTTCTTAGACCAGGTTAACTATTGAATGAAGAAGCATGGCCAGGTGGGGGGTTTTCATATAACACAGAGGGTTTATAAGATCATTTGGTTCTTGTAACCAGCCATACACATTTATGCTCCGTGGTGTGTAGCCGCAGAGTATCATTTGTCTTTGCGCTGAAGCTGCCTCACTCAGGTGAGGGTGAAATTCCTGATTGAGCCCCGGTTCTGAGAAGCTGAGTCGCTCCACACTTGGTCCACGGTAGGAAGGTGAGGCCTTGGTTTCCCTCCTGTCTCTCCCACTGGTGCTTCCACACTATTATTCAGTCTTGAATATTAAAGCTGTCGGTCTAACCAGCACTGAGCCTCTGAATGGGGACGAGAAAGAATCCTCAAGAGAGTGTTTGTAGCTGATAACAAGAGAGAGTGTCTGGTTTTGCAGGAGATGAAATGTTCTTTTGTATGCGAGCAGGAAGCAAGTAGATAGTCTACTTCAATAGCTTTTTATACCCACCAGGCATGCTGAAATTGATCTTTTCCATCATGATTATCTATAAAACCTCTTTGGTCGGTGGTTCAGTTAGAAAAGTGCCAATAACCCATTCTCATTCAAAGGCATTATCTCTTTGGAGGGAGGGGAGCTGAGAGCCAAACTTTTATTCCCCATAATTTTGCTTAGATATTCGCTTAACTAAATACTAACATTTAAGCTAAAAATAAAATCATGAACAAAAGCTTGCAACAATTTGTAGGATCTTGAATTCTTTGTGAGGAGGCTAACACGGCTGCCAAAATAAGAAGCAGGAAGCAAACTGCTGACTATAATTAAAAGCTTGCAACTTTCCAGAAGGAGAGTTGAGGAATTTGAGGAGGATCACTCTTAATGCCGAATAATCTGGGCATAAATGAAGTTAGACTGATTTGACTGTGACTCTTTTAGCTTTATTTATTTACTTGTTTCTCTTTTAACTTCAAGTAATTGAACAATATATTAGCACTGAGGGGTGGCCTCTTAAAATTATGAAGGCTGTTTCAGTTGTCCATCAAATACTTGTGACTTTACAAATAAACTCAATGCAGAGTAGATAATCTATATGTACTGATGTAATATACAGCAGGTATATAAGGTGCTTGTCTCTCTGGGTGTTTACAAAATCAAATGACATTTTTAAAGTTCAATTACATGATTGTAGGTTGTACTATGGGCTGCTTTCCTCCGGAGTCAGCTAAATGCCTGTCCCTGAGAAGCCCTCCTGAGCTCCCAGGGCAGATCACCTCTTCTCTGCACCCATGAGGACTCAAACCCCTCTCCACACTGTGGTCCGTGCCCTGTATTGTCATGGCCTCTTTACCTGTCAACCTCCTCTCCAGATTCTAAGCTCCTTAGAAGGCAGAGATGGTGTCTTCCCATTTCAATGCTTTTAGCCCCAACACACTGCCTGGCCCCTGGGAGGTGTTGCAGAAAGCCAATGCTGAGGGCTTCTCCTTGGGAGGGAGCCTGGGAGTGACAAGCAGCTCTGAGGTGAGGCAGAGGGACACCTTGGTTCTTCCAGTGCTCCTGGACGGTGTTTGAGAAGGATCAGCTGTCAGCTTCCAGTAATTCATATTTATTATTTGCTCATGGGTCCACGATCGAGGTTTGGGGGAGGCAGAGAAAAGGAGCCAGGGAGAATGGTGAGGAACGTTGGAAACACAGAAAAGGCTGGTGAAGCTGGCAGGGAGCCATGACTCCACGCAGTCGTCCTTTCTTCCCAACCATGAGGGTCGAGGGTCTTCGACTTAGGCTCCAAGGCACCAGGTGTGGGTTTGCAAGTTGCCTGCATGGGGCAGTGGTGGCGGGGACCTGTCTTCCCTCGATCTCGGGCAGCCCATAGGTGTGGCAACTTCGGGTTGCTCAACCTTCCCAGGCAGGGAGGTAGTCCAGTCCTACAGGAAGAGTCGCTGGTCCCGTTTAGGAGCCATCACAGTCCCTTTTATCAAGACCAACCATCTGGCAGATGAATAGAACTACTCCAATAGAACTATTTTTCAAACCAGCGGTATTTATAAAGACTGGGCTGCTCAGTGGAGTCTAGGACGATTTCAGCCTTTGAAGTAATGGAGACATAATTGAGGAACAACGTGGAATTAGTGTCATCACGAGTGATCTAGTGCCTCAAGTCAATTTCATCGGGTTTTGTTCGAAGAGCAGCAGTCACTCATCTTGCGTAGCAAGATGCCATCAGAAAGATTTTTTTTTCCCTGAATCATTTAGGAACTAAAGCTCAAGTGCTCGACCCTGAGCAGTTTCACGCCTCAGCTTTTTAAAAGGTATCTTGATGTTATTCGTTGTGCTGCTTCTAGGAAGCACAGGGTTTAGGAAATGACTTGGGCGGGTGCATCTCTGCCGCCGAAAGAGACACAGACGTCCTCCCCAGGGACCTGAGAGGGTTCTCTGTCTTCTCGAAGGTGCGAGGCAAGCGTCTGGTCCCCTCGGATGCTCCCGGTCCAGTCCCTGTGCAGAGGGTCTCCGGCGCCCTCCTAGACGTCTAGGGACGATCTGGGGGGTCTGGGGCAGCTAGACCAGGCGTCAAGAACAAGGAAGAGGAGGGATCCGGGCTGCGCCTAGCTCCTCCTAGCCAAGGACACTGTCGCGGAGACGCGGCCAGCTTCCCACGGATCGGACTTTCCGCCCCCGGGGCTGGGCGGCGGAGCTCCTGCCCGGTCCCCCTTCCCTGCTTCGGGCGGCCCCCAAAGGCTGAGTAAGCCTGGAGGAGGGAGGGAGACTGCAAGGATTTCCTGAGCGCTAAGGGAAGGAGGAAGGGACCCGGGCAGAGGGCCGGGAGCAAGGACCCTGAACCTGCCCGGGCCGCCTCCGGACGGAGTAGCCAGCGCCTCCCCACGAGCGCTCGCGCTCGGTCCCGACGCGCGCTCTGCTCCCAACTACCCCCCACCCCCGGCGGCCCCCGCCCCTCTCGAGAGCCGTAGGGAATCAGGTCCCGGAGGAAGAGGGTAGGTGGGGAGGCGGATGAGGGGTGGGGGACCCCTTGACGTCACTGGAAGGAGGTGCCGGGGTAGGAAGTGGGCTGGGGAAAGTTTATAAATCGCCCCCGCCCTCGACTCCTCTTAATCGAGGTCCGCTGAAGGCTCGGAGCGCGTCGGGCGGACACTCCTCGCGGCTCTTCCCCGGCGGCGGCAGCGGCAGCGGCAGCGGCAGCGGCGGCTCGGAGCGGGCTCCGGGACTGGAGCGCAGCGGCCATAGGACACCGAGCTGCGAGGATTACCCGGGGAAGTGGTTGTCCCCCTGGTTGGAGCCGCGGAGAGGGGCGCTCGCGGCGGAGGGCCGGAGCGCGAGGAGGCAGATTCGGGCGGCTGTGGGTCTGTGGCCCGCGAGCGGCGCGGGGAGCGGGCAAGCAGGCCGCGTCGCGCTCACCATGGTCAGCTGCTGGGACACCGGGCTCCTGCTGTACGCGCTGCTTGGCGGTCTGCTGCTTACAGGTGAGGCGCGGTCGGGACCAGAGGCCCGCGCGGGGCCGGCATGGGGTGGCGGGTGGGCACACCCTTGAGTCTGGGGCCGGGTGCACGCGGGGAGGTGAAGCTGCAGCCCCGAGGAGCGAGCCTCGCTGGGAGCCTGGGACGCCAGTTGTCGTGGGCACGCCTGGGGCCGCAGCGCCCTTCTCTTCCGTTGGGCAGGCAGTGCAGGCGTCTCGGAGAGTCGCCGGCGGAGGTCCGCGGGCATCGGCGCCCCGAACGGCTGCCGGCGCCGCGCACGGGTCCGCCCTGGGGCTGCCCCTTTGCGGCTGCAGCGGCCGAGCCTCTTTGCCCAGCTGCCGAGTCGGCTTTCCCCTCCCGGGAGCTGGGAGCACCGCGCGCCCGGACCTGCCTGACCCCCACAGCCTGCTCCCCGGCGGCCTGGCGCGGGTCGGCAGGGCCCACGGGAGCCCGGAGCAGTGGCTTCTAGAACGCCCGCCACACTGCCTGGGGGCTGGGCTGAGGCCCGGGCGTTGGCGAGGTTGGGCACCGGCCACTCCGTCGTGCCTCCAGAGGGGAGGAGGAGAGCCCCCTCGGAAAGGGTCGCGTGCCTGCCGGTAGCCGACAGATCCCAGGAGAGGGCAAAAAGCTGGTGTCCTTCGACCCACTTCGGGTCCCCCGGCCCGATTGCCCCCAGGAACGTTTCAGCAGCTTCTGCTCCTCCCCGCCGCTTGCCGACCGCCGGGCAGAGCGCTCCGCGCTCAGCCACCCGGGTGGGGCCTCTGCGGCCGGTCCAGCCCAGGTCGCCGACCTGAGTGAACCTGGCCAGGGCAGTGGAGAACCCAAATACCGTTAAGTTTCGGAATTGCAGTCCTAGTCTTTAAATTCCCAGAGAAGAGAGAGGACGATTTGGACCAAAAGATGCAGTTTGAGGAAACGGCGAGGTCCGCCCCTTTGCCGGGAATTCGAGAAACGCGCGGCAGAACAGTCCGGGGCCCCTGAGGTTATATCGCCGTAGTGCCGAGGTTACCCCGCACCGGGGCGTCAAAGCCTGAGGGGACTTCGGGGCCCAGATTTGTCTTTTCTGCCCATTGGGGCTGAGTGGCCAAGCCCTCCGGTTCAGTCCCCATGGACGCGGAGAGCCGTATTTCTGGAGAAAAGGTAAAACAGGAAAGTACAGTAACATAAACAAGTTATTGTAGTAATTCCAGGGAAGGAAAAAGTCACTAGGGTTGAGCGAATTTTTAAAAATGCTTGTTAAACCCCCAAAGCAGTAACTGTTAAAAAACATTCTTTCTCAGTGGGAAGACTAATTAGATCCTCGGTTTCTGAAAACATATAATGGTTCCTATTAGGTTGGCGAAACCATTAAGCTGAAAGGTAGGCGAAGCCCTCATGTCTGGGAACTCGCTGTAAGTTGGGGAAGTCGGTAACATAGCTGTATTATATGAAATATTGCTTTTCATTTTCAAATTTTTTTTGTTTGTTTTGAAAAGTCAATTATATTGAAGTATAGTTGTTCAGAGCACTGAAGTAACTTCTGAAGCCCATTCACCTGTTCTGTAAAGGTAAATGTAGGTTAATTCCTGCAAATCCAATGAAGGGAAAAGTATATGTTTCACTGGCTTTTCTGCTTCACACAAATACATCTTTACTTTTGTTTCAAAAACGTGGTTGACCAATGAAGTATAGCTCTGTTGGTGATGAGGACCAATTTAGATCGGTGCAAGCTTTTCAGAAACCTGAGTAAGATTCTCTTGAGATTTCTTTTAGATTTTATTTCCCTTAAGTGAGGCAGAAACGTTGAGACTCTTGTTTGATTTTTTTAAAAATTGTGTATGTGTTATATTATAAGAAAGCAAGGCAAAACATGAGCAAGGTGAAAGCCTCCTTACCTGCTGGGTCAGGGACTGTTGTTATCAGTGGTCAGGGAGTGTAATTCTTGAAGCATGGCTTTGTAAACCACAGGCTTGTGGCTGGTTAACAGAGAACCCACAGAACAACAGTCAGCTGCCTACTTTGTAAATTGCATCAGGGCTTTCAGACTAAATGGAGGGTCTGTGAGGGGCTGCTTCTCCCGGAAGTGGTGTCCAGAAAGAGGCCAAGTTTCTGCTCTGTGGATTTATCAGGAGTCTGCTTACTTTCAGGTGCCTTTGAATATTTGTGAGTTATTAATATTTTGAGTGTATGTGTGAAGGTGTGTGCATGCATTGAGATATAAAATAACCAGAAGCTCAGTCAGACAAAACGATAATGCATTTCCCCCTAAAGATTACATTTACCTGCTTCCAAATATCCTAAGAAATGAAAAGATGACAGTAATTTGGGTATTTTCAAGTCCTCTGTATTGCGATCTTTCCCTCTAAAAGGAATACCTCCCTTACTCTGGCTCAAAAAGTCTCATTTTCTTACTTTTAAGGCACCATGTTCATAATTAAAGCCACAGGCCCCTTGTTTCTGTCCCCATCTTTTGTTTTTTTTTTTTTTTTTAAAGATTTTATTTATTTGATAGATCACAAGCAGGCAGAGAGAGAGGAGGAAGCAGGCTCCCTGCTGAGCAGAGAGCCCCGATGCGGTTAGGTTAGTCCGAGACCATGACCTGAGCTGAAGGCAGCGGCTTTACCCACTGAGCCACCCAGGCGCCCCACTTTTGGGGGTTTTTGAGCAGCTGATATATACAGCTAACTAACTGGAAATGTATGACTTCTGAATCTTGTGAGGGAAATCTACATTAATAATACGAAGTTGAAATGTGCATGAAAATAATACTCATTTCCAAATACAATGTAATAAATCTTTCATAGTAAAGCTAATTTTATATGGCAGTTTTTGTTGTTTTCTCGAAGGTTTACGAAACTACACTTTTTTGGTAGTGGTTTTCTGTATTGCATATTTGGACTATTAATTAGTTAGCACTTTTGGCAGTCCACATGGGGAGGTTCCCCCCTGTTGGATCCTGTTGCCATTGGGCTACAGATGGTCACCTGGTCTATTCCTTAATATTTTTACCTTATTTGTTTATTGTTATTTTAATTTTTTTCTTTCCCCATTGAAAATTCTATAACAGGTTCTCCAGTTTCTTCCCTGGGGAACTCTAAGTGGATTTTTCGTTTTCACTGTGAAAGTCAGAAGTTAGAATAGATACCTATTTCTAATGCCCCTTCCCAATTCTTTAAGACTCAGTGAATGGTTCCAAGGAGTAGGCTGAACACGGTGTGTCCCTTTTTCTCCTGCCCTTACACATTTGCATGTAAAATGGATGATAAGCCCCGTAATGCCAGAGCACCTGCTATCAATAATCACATTGCATTTTCTTTTTTATCCACCAGCTGATTAGCTAGCTCTTTAATGGTTGCAAGAGCTAAGTTGTTAGGTATCTGAACCAGTAGTAATCATAGGCCTTTTTCTTTTCTTTCTTTCTTTCTTTTTTTTTTTTTTTTTCTTTTTCCAAACAGAATCCTTAACTCTAGGAACTAAACTCTACTTCCTGACTCTGGTTACATTACCTCTTCTAAAAGGCCATCAGTCATTTTAAACTCAGAAGAATTTCTTGTTTGTTTGTTTAAGTTAATTCTCACATATTTGATTCAAAAATAACTTCATTTTAAAATTTCAGATTGCCACAGGGACGCTAAGCCTCTTATTTAAAATTGGACCTATTTTATAAGATCTTTTAGAAGCAACCAAATAATCACTTTGTTCTTACCATATGTATTGAGACATTCTAAATCTACTTTGAACATGTGTAATATAGCAGCTGCAAATATGTTGCCAAAAAGTGGGTTTTATATTGACCAAGGGAAAAAAAAATGCAGTGTCCTGGAGGAAGGTTAGCCAACCCATTTCAGGGTTGTGCCTGCTGTTTACCCTGGGTTTGGGAAGTTCTGCAAAGCAAGAACAAACTGAGATGTGTATGCGAGTGGGCATAAGGATGGAGAGAAAGTGAAAGAAGCTCTCTTGGCACTTGGGTGTTAAATGCAAAGCTTGCTGGCGTTGGGTTTTTGGTGCAGTTGCACAGTTGGGAGTTTATTGGATATCAAGTAAATACAACCTTTCAGAGTATTGGTCATTGTGGAGAGGAGAGGAGGGACTGTGAAACGACACCAGACCTAATTTTTTTTTAAACAAAAATATATTATGAGGAATGGTTAAAAGCATTAAAAGCATCTGTTGCATTGCTTTAAATAATTTAATAGAAGAGGATAGTCCCTTCCATTCCACTGGTCTTAGTACACTGGTGAGGCTTGTAAGGAATGACAAGATCTCTTGCCAAATGCTTTCCAGGATCATTGTTGATTCCTCACACACTTGGGTGCCTTGGAAATTGCATGCTGCTGATGACATTACTGGATTTTATACCAGATTGAGGGAGGGGAAGGAAATGGGAGGAATGGGGTAATTGAGGGAAGGATTGAGAGGAAAGCCTCCGGCTTAGCATCTGGGACTGCAGGGGGGTTTCATTAAGGAAATGGTTCCATTGAGTCTGCTGAAGATAGTGGACTAGATTTCCTGCATTGCTGCTGGGGCGGATGTGGGGGGATGTCAAGAATTCCTGGGGATTTCCCATCAGTCTCGGTAAGCTGGATGCCTGAGAGCCCTATCTGATTCTTGCTCCTTTCCTTGATTTTGAGCTCCTTGTGAGACCTGATCTTGTCTCTCAGACATACAGGTTGTGAGGGCTAGATCCAACATACTCATTTCAGAGATGAGAAAACCCACCCAGAATATTGTTCTCCCCAACCCCCACCACCTCCCAACAAGTTCAGTACCTGGTTGGTGGCAGACCCAGGCATAGAATCTGATGGTCCCAGTACAGATAATACTTTTTCTTCATTTCTGTCTTTCCTCCATCCCAAGCAGGGTAGAGATGTTCAGACATTTGCTGAAGGACATTATTACAGCGCTCATGTTTTTTTTAAAATGTCAGGATCTTTCTCAAATGTGGAATTTTCTTCTATTTTCTTATAGCCCACAAGGGCTTGAGATTAAGAATATCAAAATTACGGCTGCTTAGTAGTGCACTGACA